TGGCACTGACTCGAACAACTTTGCTTGTCACGGTTTCAACCCCGTGACACCAACAACAAGACGAACGAAGTAGATAGCCTCACAGACAAAGTCTTGGTCCTTATTCTCCTCCACCTCACCGCCTGCACCTTATGCAGCTGCGAGTGTGTGTGTTGCTCCTGGTACCGCCTCATCTCCAAACCCGAGTACCGTAAGGAGCTGCCCCACTTTGTCGCCGGATTCATGTATGGCAACTGGAAAGGCAAACACCGATTCACCAGCTTCACAAGTGAATACCCCTCCTTTTTGTTCTTGCCCTTCCCCATTTAGGATTTAGTCATCTTACATTAGTGTAGAGGCCTCTTCCTCTACTGGTGCATTGGGATTTGCTATGTTGTCTATAATCCGGTGACTAGCAAATCAGTGGTACTGCTGCATAGCAACCTTTGTTATGGTTCAGCTGGCATGGGGTTTGATCCCACAATCTCCTTGCACTTCCTTGTGGTAGAACTATGGGTAAGGTCACCTGGGGTGTTAGTTATTAGCATCTACTCATCAAAAACTAGAGCATGGATGTGTAAAGAATCTGAATGGGGAGAGGATATTCTAGTATGCAAATTTTCAGGAACTATGTTTCTTAATGGTTTGATGCACATGCTGGAGGTGTCCTAGATAGTTGTGTTGATATGGAGGGAAAGACATGGAGGAAAATTTTTAGGCCACCAGGTCCTGCAATGTCCATCCTTGGAGATCAGGGCCAATTGTGTCTATGTATTGCTGATATGTTCAATAGGTCTAACCTTTCAATCTAGATCCTTGAAGACTATGGTACTAGTAAATGGACATTGAAGCATACGGTGAACACGCTGCAGCTATTTGGACCGAACAATATTTGACTCGGTTCCGAGGCTGCCAATGCGGACTACAGAGTGATTGCAGTTCACCTAGAATGGAATTTGATTTTCCTTGTTGGGGAGGACAGAACACTGATGGCATATGACATGAGCCATAGAAAAGTTCATGTCCTCCCTACCCGGGTCATTCGCTATCCTAAAAGTACCTAGAGTATTTATTTGAACGGACCTCACTATCTGCCTAATGTTCCCTTATTCATGGAGTCATTAGCAGAGCAGTAAAGGTGCATATGCTATATTTTGTTGTTAGGACATGTCTTTGTTCAGGTAGGGAGTTGTTTTGAGTCTATATATATAGTCCAATTTTGTTCAGAGCAGTAAAGCTTTGCATTGTGTAGGTTTTGGAGTATTTGTGCTTTTGAACAATTTTCCTGCAATGGCTATGGGAGGAAGAAGAGGGGTTCCATGCTGCATTGGCTGCCAAGCTAATTAAGGACTGCCAATCTGAAGGAGTGGAGCACATCTGCCTTGTTTTATATACGTAAGTCTGTACAGAGTAGAACCTTTATTATGCTATCTACGTACCGCTTGTGTTAATTCGTAAGTTGACATAGTTGTTTGTTAGTGTCGAGCATTGTTATTATAACAAGTACTTTTCATTGTGGACATGATGAATCATGTGTAATGATTAAATCTATATGGTGTGTGTCCAGTAATGTCGGTACAGAAAGTGACCAACTAGTGAATATTTGTAGTTTTGCTGTACGTTGTGATCGGAGGTGGCCAAGCACTAAATGACACAGGATTTATACTGGTTCAGGCAATGTGCCCTACGTCCAGTTTGGGTCGTTCAGTGACTTTATTCCTGAGCCCAGGTGCTCGAAGTCTGTAGTGGGGTTACAAACGAGAAGGAGAAAGGTGGGGTGTACGAGAAGCCCGATCGGGTCCGACCGGAAGGGCCGAGGGCGACCGAAACTCCGCTATGAGCTAGGTGTTCAAGCATGTGCTTGGGGGTTGTGAGCTATCGATCTAGTGAATCTCAACTTGAAGGAAGTCGACCTCCTTTGTTGGAGGGAGCGCATCCCCTTTTATAGATAAAGGGGATGGCTTTACAGGTGAGAGGGAGAGAGTATGGATGTTTCTAAGCCTTGTTGCCCACGCCGACGAGGGTACCGATGATGGTAGGCGCCCACAATACTGTTGATGTCACTGTAGAAAGTCAGGTGCACATGGGAGGTTGTGTTGGCTTCTTCAGGAAGGGTGGATGTTGGTACCTGCAAAAATATTGTTGGTATGTGAGAAGCCCTACCATGTGTACCAGGTATGGTGAATCCTGGTGCCCAGAGGCATGTGGAGGGCTTATTGCTATACGCACTACTAGAAATGTGTTCATCAACGATGATTCAGTCGTGACGCTTACAAATTTCGTCACAGAACAAGCGCTTTCTATGACGAAATTTCTAGCTTCGTCATAAGTAACAAGTGACGGAGCTTTGGCACGAAGAATAATGACGAAAACAAAAGAATCATCATAAAACAACAAAACTAAATCATCATAGATCGTTTGGCTCGTGTACCACCTCGAGGACGTGGCGCCATGGTCCCACCAGCAGATCCCACCTCGAGGACGTGGCGATGTGGTCCCACCATTGGGTCCCAACCTCGAAGACGTGGCGATGCGGTCCCACCAGCGGGTCTCAGCCTGAGGACATGGCGACGAACAAGTGGGGCAGCCTGGCCCACACGGTCTAGATGGACCTGCATCCTTCCGCCTCCCTTTTTTGCCAAAAAATAGTGCACGCAGGGAGATTCGAACCCGCGACCTGCTGCTAGACATGTTGGTGCGTTACCACTGGAGCACTCGCCATTTTGTGATAAAGGCATGCATGTTTTTCTATTTGTAAACGTATAACATGATAATTGATGATTTTTTTCCTAAAATTTTCTAAAATCATTCTCTATCAATTTATTTTGTTGGTTTTGTCAATATATACATATGAAAAGTTTGAGCAATTTAAATTTTGAATTTCAAAAAAATGCAACTTTAGACAAGATTTTGGTTCCCCAAATGATTTCAGCTGAAAAAGTGATAAATACCAAAGTTGAATAACTCATCAATATCTACAACTTTTGTATTGGTCATTTCTTCATATGACAAAGTGGTAACGACATTGTTCACAAATGTGACATCTCTCATAAGGTTTTATAAACTATATGAGACATGTGTAAGATTAGTGAACAACGTGTGCTAATAATTTGTCAAATGAAGAAATAACAAAAATAAAAGTTATAGATATTCATGAGTTGAACAACTTTGGTAGTCATCGCTTTTTATGTTGAAATCAATTTGGGTCTCAAATTTTGGTTCGAACTTGTCGTTTTTCAAAATTTCAAATTTGAAAGGTTCAAATTTTGTGAAATGACAAGATGACTAAAATAAAAGTTGTAGATATTAATGAGTTGAACAACTTTGTTATTCATCACTTTTTATGTTGAAATCAATTTGGGTCTCAAATTTTGGTTCGAACTTGTTGTTTTTCAAAAATTCCAATTTGAAAGGTTCAAATTTTGTCAAATGATAAGATGACTAAAATAAAAGTTGTAGATATTAATGTTTTGAACAACTTTGGTATTCATAACTTTTTATGTTGAAATCATTTTGGGTCTCAAATTTTGGTTCGAACTTGTTATTTTTTAAAATTTCAAATTTGAAAGGTTCAAATTTTGTCAAATGACAAGATGACCAAAATAAAAGTTGTAGATCTTGATGAGTTGAACAACTTTTGTATTCATCACTTTTGCATATGAAATAATTTAGGGTTTAAAAATTTGGTTTGAACTTGTCAAATTTCAAATTTTAAAATGTGTAAAACATTATCACATCCAAGTTTGATCAAACTTAAATACTGAAGCATGATTTTAGAAATTTTTAGGAAAAAAATCATCATATTTGGAGTTAGTATGAGAGAGAACAACTAGTTACAAAGTTTATCCACAGATTAAAAAAAGAAATCACACTGTTCTAGATGATCCTTACATGATCATAGTGAACAGTGTGATTTCTTTTTTTAATCTATGGTTTAACTTTGTAATTAGTTTTTCTTCCCCATACTAACTCCAAATCTGATGATTTTTTTCCTAAAATTTTCTAAAATCATTCTCTATCAATTTATTTTATTGGTTTTGTCAATATATACATATGAAAAGTTTGAGCAATTTAAATTTTGAATTTAAAAAAAGTGCAACTTCAGACAAGATTTTGGTACCCCAAATGATTTCAGCTGAAAAAGTGATAAATACCAAAGTTGAATAATTCATCAAGATCTACAACTTTTGTATTGGTCATTTTTTCATATGACAGTGATAATGATATTGTTCACAAATGTGACACATCTCTCGTAAGGTTTTATAAACTATATGAGACATGTGTAAGATTAGTGAACAATGTGTGCTAAGAATTTGTCAAATGAAAAAATAGCCAAAATAAAAGTTGTAGATATTCATGAGTTGAACAACTTTTGTATTCATCACTTTTTATGTTGAAATCAATTTGGGTCTCAAATTTTGGTTCGAACTTGTCGTTTTTCAAAATTTCAAATTTGAAAGGTTCAAATTTTGTTAAATGATAAGATGACTAAAGTAAAAGTTGTAGATATTAATGAGTTGAACAACTTTGGTATTTATCATTTTTTGTGTTGAAATTTTGTCAAATGACAAGATGACAAAATCTGCATACACTCTCAGAACTGTACGGATTGAGAGGCGTGTGAACCCAGGTTAAATATTGAAATTTCTCCTTTCCCCCACGTCTCCTCCTCTACCCCCATCCCCCAATCTGCGGTAGTTTCCAATTTCCTATCCCCATCCCCAAACCCCCCAAACCCTATTCGATACCAAAGCGGAAGAAAAAGAAAAAGAAAAATTGCACGCGACGACGCGACGGTGAAGGGAAGGGAAGCAGGAGCGAGAGACAAATCCCCACTCGGCTCCAAACCCTAGCGACCTCCCCCGTCCTCCCCCTTCGTCCCCCAGATCTCGCTGGCGTCTGCCTCGCCTCCCCTCGATGTGACCCGGCCCTAGGGTTTGAGACGGTGTCGCGGTGGGGGGTGTTCACGGCGATTCGCGACGCGAGTGGGATTCGAGGTGGCGTCGGCGGCGTGAGCGCACATGAAGGACCCGGCGCACCGCACGAAGGTGGTGCTCTGGCGGTTGCCGCCCGGCGATCGCGCAGTGAGCAGCCGTCTGGACCAGGTCGACGCGCAAGACTTATTTGGCGGTACGATTGGGCGTGCTTCCACTGGGCAATGCCAAGTCCGCGCTCTCTGCGTTTCCAGTGCTTGTGGTGTTGCTGTGGGTGGGAGTAGGTCCGTAATTAGGACTTGTGGTACTATCCTGTTTAGCCTATGAACCATGGTAGGAAGCTATTATTGCGATGTCTCTGATTAAGTTCCGTTTGCTAGTTCTTGTGTACTCTTCTCGCAAGCAATTAGCCTGCTCATCAGTATATTGCTTAATTTTGAAGCTAAATGATGGTGACATTCTTCTTTCTCCCTTTTTATCTAGCCAAAAGAATCATAGGTATTCTCGACTTTACCTTAATTTCAAGTGCCCAGAGGACGTTGTTGAGTTTCTTTGAGGTCTTGGTGGGCACGTATTTGTGAATGAAAAGGGTATTTTCTTTATCTTGTTGAATTTTGTCCACGATAATCTATATTCAGTTATAGTTAGCTTTCTAGAACACTGTCCACTTGACCTGTTGGTGTATAGGATTCTGTTTTCCCTTGGTGAGTGTGGAAGAAGAGATCCAAGAGAAACACACTAGTGAAAATTTGGTATGAAGGAAATTTTGAAATTGAATTGGATGTACTTACATAAGGTTGCAGCATTGCTAGCACATGAACGATGACATACTGACATTAATCTTGTCCTTGACGTTATTGTGCTTGTTGATCCAACTTAGGTCAGTGCTAATGGTGGTCGCTGGAAGCAAGAACAACATATGTTGGCTTGATAATATTTCTTGTACAGTGTTATATTGTTATGCTGAGACAGAAATAAACTACTTACCAGTGTATTAAATTTGGTGTTTTTTTTGGCAACTATAGACCACGTGTGTTTGTAGTGTTTTTTGGGGGAGTGTCATTTATGCTCTGCTGTGTAAATTGGGTCTCATGGATGTTGTGTATGGTTCTGTCAGGTGCTCAATTTAAAGCTTTCGTGGAATATGCACCATCACAACAGGTTCCCAAGTCAAATATCAAGAAGGATGGCCGTGAAGGAACTTTTATGAAAGGTCTTAGGCAATCACTTTTCCTAATTCTTTGCCCAATTGTACCGTTCTATCATATTACCATTTTCCTAAACTTGGATTTTGTTGTTTTGGAATTACTAGATCCAGAGTACTTGGAGTTTCTTGAGCTTATTTCAAAGCCTACTGAGCATCTGCCTAGTGCTGAAATTCAGCTTGAAAGGAAAGAAGCTGAAAGGGCAGGTAGAATATGCCGTCATTACTTTCTATTCATAATAGTACTCCCTCCATTCCAAAATATAAGACATTTTGGCTTTGCTAGATACATAGCTTTTGCTATGCACTTAGATATACACTATGTCTAGATACACACTAAAAACAATGTATCTAGAAAAGCCAAAACATCTTATAATTTGGAATGGAGGAAGTATTTGCTATATCGATGTGTCTTTCCAAATATGCCAAGCATAAAATGGGGTTGTCACATTTGGTTATTTTTGTCAGCTGCTGGAAATGAGGCACGGTAGCAAAGGGCAGCTAAGAATATGGCTCAGGTACATTTATTCCTTAACTGATAACATAGGGTTCTTCTTTATCAACTGTTAACTTGCTACTATTTTCTTAAATTGCAGAGACCTGGAAGTAGACTTAGCAGAAAAGTTGCAGGTGTCGTAACTAGCAGTTCCAGTCCTAAAAGGTCTTCTGAGAAGCGCAGATCCTCCACGGTAGCATGCTTTATTTGGAGCTTTCTGATTTTTTCTGATAAAACTTTCTATTCTCAGTTTATAATTTGTTTGACATAACGGGTGTACCTTCACATGGGTGCCTATGTTGGCAATATTCCTTTGTTCAGTAAGATTCATTCCGTATGGTACTAACTCATCATTATGTTTTTCCTCATTCATCAGATGGTCCCTGATGTACTATGCTTACGGTTTACTGTATTTATGAAAAATAGCACAATTGATCTTATTTCTATATCTCATTATGTTTTTCCTCATTCATCAGATGGTCCCTGATGTACTATGCTTACGGTTTACTGTATTTATGAAAAATAGCACAATTGATCTTATTTCTATATCTCTGGTTTCTGTGCATAATGTGCTCCTTGTATAATTATATACTTTAAATGAACTCACTAAAATTGTTTCCTTTTTAGGTGATAGTTGCATAGTTATTTTTAATTCAACTCCTATAGACCTATGCATGTATGTTTCCATGATATTCAATTGAGGCACCACCAAACCTTTAGTTAATTTGAAATTTGAAAAGATTGTTGTTACTTGATTTGAATTATGTATATATATGTGGTCAGATTTGAATTTAAATTATTTATTTTTTTTACTGGAAAATCCACTGTAGGGGCGGTTCTTGATTGAACTGCCCTTACAAATACACACAGCAGGGGCGGCTGGTGATACAGCCGCCCTTACAGAAGTCCACTACAGGGGCGGCTGATATTACCAGCCACCCCTACAGAGGGCACTATAGGGGCGACTGAAAACACTAGCCGCCCCTACAGAGGGCACTGTAGGGGCGACTGAAAACACTAGCCGCCCCTACAGAGGGCACTGAAGGGTCGGTCAGGAAACTGCCCCTACAGAGGCACCCTCTGTAGGAACACCCTGGGAAGGGCGGCTGGCGCAGCCGCCCCTACAGAGGCTCTAGAGCCGCCCCTACAATTAAATTCTGTAGTAGTATATGTTGCTCATTTTGCAATCAAGGCATCCTTATCTCTCTATGTTGTGAGGTAGATCTTTTTGTCATAATCAATTTACACAAGGCCACTGGACTTTATTTCTCACGGTTCACCATATGTGTACTGCAGATACTACACGGACCCATCTTGAACCTTCTAGCAATGCAATGCAAAGGCAATTGGATCAGGTTCAGAAGGAGCTGATAGCTCCTTGCAGGAGAAGTACAACAAGGTATGGTTCAAGATAAATGCTAAGTTTGAGGGAGCTGATAGCTCATTTTGTAGGAGTTGATACCTTTCCATTCTATCTGACATTCCCAATGTATCTGGAACAACAAGGCCTTTTTGTTTTGTTAGCACTTGAGTGCTTGCTTGGTCTTTTTTTATATGGATATATGTTTTGTTGTCATAATATGAGTCTGTCTGTTATTATTGTGATTCTTGTATTATAGAAGATGTTTAGAAATTTTTGGCTAAACAATCTTGTTTGGGCCACAATATTACAAAGTTTGCCAGGATACTTGATCATGTATTTTACTGATGATTTGGGGGAGCACGTGTTGGTAATTTGAATTTTTTTTTGCAGACAAATGCACTGTAGGGGCGGCTGGTACTGTAGCCGCCCCTACAAAAACGATTTGTAGGGGCGGTCTGAGAACCGCCCCTATAAATGCATGATTTGTAGCCACCCTTTCATAGGGGCAGCTGGCAAAACCGCCCCAACAAATGGTTACTAGCCGCCCCTAAAAACGGTTTTTACATAGTGTCAATCAGTTTCCAAAGGATCTTCTCATTTTAAACCTATGATCTCATTTGACATGTTCATTATCTTGTAGGAATCAAGTGAAAACAACAAGCAGAATCACCGTAAAGTCAAGTATCATCAAGCTACGGGTTCTCGCAGCTATGTGGCACACTTACATGCATATGTAAGTAAAGAGTACCCTGTACATATTTGTACTAAACAACTTATTTTGCATTTCATCTGAGAAAACTTTGCTGTAATTGGTTATCTATGAAACAGAAGAAGAAGAAAAACAATGCAGAACCAAGAACAGAACAAAATGAAGAACTTGATGCGGTGGAGGCCTTGAAGACCTGCCATACCAGCTCCAAACATGGTCTGATTGAACTAGCAAGAGAAGCAGTTGTAAGTCACGACATCTGTTTCGCTGTGCCAACAACTATTCATTAATTGGATAATATGTCTTGTTTCAAACATTTTGTATTCTGTCTTTTGCTCAAAACTGGTCATAATCCAATATAGCTAGACATACTTGCTAAATAATAATCCTATGTTGTTGACTTCTACTTGTATTCAGTTACCTGACAACAAATAAATGACTCATGATTGCATACCTATTTGGCATCAGTTTCTATCAATGCAGCATAGGTTTTTATTTTTTAAAATACATCTTGTGTGATATTTCCTCAAATTAATGCAATAAGTATCAACTAATGATGGGTCATTGCTGTTTTAGTCAAATATGGAAGCTTTGAGGATAGAACCTATTGTTGAAGGTGAGACAACAGTGTCTAGTGTGCAGGTTGTGTCCCAGGTGCTCTCCCAGAACAGCTCAAACCTTTTCCTAAAGAGTGTTGGCATTAAACCAGTGCCATCCTCTAAATCATCATCATCAAATGAAAGCGAGCTTCGGGAGCAACTAGCAGCTGAAGCTACGGCTGCTATACAAGGTGAAATCGATGAACTCAGGAAGAGAAGTGAAGAAGCTGAGGAAAAGCTGGCGAGGACACAAAAGGAGATGGAGGAGTACAAGAAGCTGATAGAGATAAACAACAAGGCAGTGGAGGAGAACAATGCGCTGCTCAAAGCGTATCTTGGCCATCAACAATGCTTCTTCGACATGAGCGCTGCTCGTAGCTGTTTGTTCATTAAGCAAGGGGTCTGCTGGTGATTTTGTCTATGTAGTAATTTACCTGTGATGTTAATGTGAACTGAGATGAAACTAGTAGTTCAAATGTGATGTCTAGTGAGTTATGTGAACCGAGTTTAGAATTGTTGATTAAGTTGATGGTCATTGGAATACTGGATCTGTTAATTTATGGAAGCTTTTGGTCATTCTAGTATTATTTGCATTCTGTAATGAAATTAGCATGTGCACTTGTGATGAATTATCTGACCTTTCTGTGACGATTTGGTAATTGATTCTGTGAAGAATTTCTATTTACTTCAGTGACGAAAATGAGAACCTATCACAGCAAGCCTTGTGGTCCAATAAAAAGTGGACACGTGGACCATCCACATCACTGGTCACGTCAGCTGCCACGTGGTCAGACACGTCACCTACAATGTGGACGCGCCACATGGACAAGACACGTCAGTTGCCAGCGTGGCAGACGTCATCTGGCCGCCTAACAGACAGCAAGTCATGACGAAAAAGGGGCTATATCAATGACGAAAATAGATCATCATAGAAAGAATACACTTCTATGACGACGGCCATTTCGTCATAGAACAAATGCACATCTATGACGAAAATAGACGTTTCATCATGGTAGGTAAAATATGACGCGCATTCAATGACGAATACCATATCATCACAAATTCATCATAAAATAATATATGTGATGATTTTGGAGTCTTCGGTGATGAAAGAAGAGCATCATTGATGTACACATCCCTAGTAGTGACGGCAGCCCAACGGCGCCTACAATACTATAGCTACAAATGTCGGTGCCTACAATACTGTTTGTGTCAGGGCGGTTGCGAAGCACTGCTCCTGTAGGCGTACAGGGTATGGTCTCGATATCGTGGTTTGACTTGTGCACTGCCTTCTCCTTTCGCCTCTGGTCCCTTCTGAGCGGACGTCCCCGGTCGGAGGGCCCCAGTCGGCCCTGGCCGCGCCAGTCGGAGAAGAGCGGTAAGCAGGCTTCCTACAGGTTCCTAGTCAGAGTTGCGGGGTCAGAGTAGGAAGCAGCGTTTTGGGCCATGCCTTCCGATCAGAGAGACCGCTCGAAGGCAACTGGTGCCTGAAGCGAGCGCTCCGGTCGGAGAGGTGGGCCGAAGAAGTTGTCGAGCGGGCGCTCATCCTTTTGGGTAGACCTTCCGGTCGGCGACCAGACTATCCTTCCAACCCGTTGTTTTTTAGACTCTTGGGCCGGCCCATGACTAACATGCTGTTTTCTTGGGCCGAGCCCTAGCGTGGAAGCGGGTCCTTGAGGGACCCTAGGTTTATGAACCCGACAGGAGCCCCCGAGCCCTCGGGCGATTCGAGCATAATCGTCCGGGGATTTTCTTGTCTTGCCGGTGGGTGCGCATGAGCGCACGCACGGGTGTAGCCCCCGAGCCCCCGGGCGGTTTGGGCAGAACCGGCTGGGGGGTTTTCTGCATTGTCAGTGGGAGAGGTTTTTTGCGTCGTGTCGGTGGGTGCATGTGAGCGCACCCGCGGATGTAGCCCCCGAGCCCCCGGGTGGTTCGGGCAGAACTGTTTAGGGGGTGTTGTTTCGGTGGACATGCGTGTTTTCAATTTGAGACGGAATTTTGTTTAACCATGGCATCGTTGTGTAGCCGAGGGGATTTTTTAGGCATGGGATGAGACAAAACCTACTGATCCCGACGTCGGTGCGCGCAATGGGTCGGGTGAGAAGGTTAGTTCGAGACAAACCCTGGCATCGGTGCGCGCCATGGATGGAGATAGTTCGGTTCGGATGTGTCAGAGCTTACTGATCTTTGGCGGCGATGCGCGCCATGGGATCGAGCGAGGTGGAGCCATGAACGGACCCAGGCATCAGTGCGCGCCGTGGATCGAGAGAGTTAGTTTAGTTAGTTTAGGAATCGGACGAGCCGGAGCTCGTGGATCCTGGGAGCGCGGTCGGAAGTGAAGCCGTTACGCGAGTTTAGGAGTCACGGTCCCAGGTTTATTTGGAGCGCAGTCGGAAGTGAAGCCGTTACGTGAGTTTAGGGGTCGCGGTCCCAGGTTTATTTGGAGCGCAGTCGGAAGTGAATCCGTTACACGAGTTTAGGAGTAGTGGTCCCAGGTTTATTGGAGCGCAGTCAGAAGTGAAGCCGTTATGCAAGTTTAGGAGTCGCGGTCCTAGGTTTATTGGAGCGCAGTCGAAAGTGAACCCATTTGAAGCTGAATCATAGTTAGTTGGTTAAAGATCGAATGAGGCAATGCTCGCGGATCCTGGCGTCGATGATCCGCGGACCGGGCGAGTCAGAGTCGTGGATCTGGCGAGTTCGAGGTCGCTGTCCTTGGCATTTGTCTTGAGCCCCCGAGCCCTATTGGGCCTTCATGGGGGTCAATGTGAGTATTGTGCGTTACCCCATCCTCGGTAACTCACAACCGAAGGGGCTGAGTTTTATCGCCTGTCCCGATCGCTCGGGCTCGAAGACTAGCTCGGTGAGTTCGCTAACGGGTGTGATCGAGTGGAATCTGGGTCCGTCGTTCATGACAGGGTTGGCATAGCCCTCTTGTGACATTCCACTACTCCTTTACCTGCAACCCGGTAGATGCCTAGGTCGTTCCGGAGACTGACCCGGGTGGCCTAACGGCCTCCCCTCGATGGAGATTCTATGGGCCTGGCGAGAGGTTCAGGATCAAACGAGAAGGTTGAGATGACCCAGTCTGCTAGACCGGGTAAGGGCCGCACGGTGCTCATCTACGGTTTTCTCCCCTGGCTCTATTGGTTGCCCATGTCCAATGAGGCAACCGCCGCTTCGTGATGCAACATGGAGCATTCTGGTGCATTTCGCTGCACGTGCGATGCTTAGTTCCTGAGCCCTCAGGCGGTTTAGGGCTCGAATCATCCGGGAGGCATGGGCGTATGAAATGAATGCGCGTATGGATGTATGAATGATTTATAAAGAAATAGAGGGGGTTTTGGTAATGTTTACCTTGATGACTGGAGTGACGGGGCTCAGAGAGCTTCAGTCGGAAATGTCCGATCGGGACCCGTGCTCATCGTTCATGACGGAGTCGGCATGGCCTACATGGGGCGTCCCTTCGCTTCCTACCTGTGTCTCCATGTTCATCCTGAGCGATTCGATTGGCATGGGGGATCGGTTGGTCTCCCGGCGGAGACTTCATTTTTTGGTCTCCCCAGGCCTGGCCTGGGGGAGAGGGGAGCCGCCCGCATGCGGTGGCTCTTTGGTTCCTGTGCCTATCGTGGTAGTGGTTGATCGTGTGGTAATGGTGGGCCACGGCCAGGCCACGTCCCGTCTGATCAGGAGCCGTTCCATCGAGCAGGGCGCGTCTCATTGGTTCAGGGCACGTCTCATCTACATTAAATGGAAAAGAGAGAAATTCTCGCTCCGCCGTTCTGCCTTCCCCAATCGGCGCGTCCTTCCTTAACTGCTATTCCCTTTCCTTTAAGTAGGAGCAGGGAGACGGTTTTTGAATCGTTCTTTGGCCTGTTCTTCATCCGCCACTGCCTTCTCTCTTCCTTTTTTGCCGTGAGCGTTCCCGAGAGTCGCGGAGGTTTCTAGGAAGGAAGGGGGAGAGAGCGAGGGAGAAGAGAGGAACTCACCGACCTTTTTTCAATCTGGAGCGAAATGTTGGACTGGCGGACGTCCAACGTGAGGAAGTCGGTGCTGGAGGCTTTCGTCGCGAAGGGGTTTTTGTTGCCGTAGGAGGTGGCGCACTGGAGGGTCCCTAGAGGGGAGGAGTTTCTGCAACCTCATCCCGATGAGGTGGTTTCTTTCCTTACCTTCCACGAGCACAGATTAGGATACCCCGTGCACTGGTTCCTGCATGGGCTCCTCAACGAGTGGGGTCTGGAGCTGCAGCATCTCAATCCGATGGGGGTGCTGCACATTACTGGTTTTGTCACTGTTTGCGAGGCTTTCATCAGGATGGAGCCGCATGTAGATCTCCTTCGGCTTTTCTTCTCCGAGAGAGCTATGGTGGACTGGAGTTCGGCCGAGATCGCACCGATCAGAGGCTTCGCCCTGCAGAGGAAGCCGCATGGGGGAGGCTCGTATCCCGCATACATCCCATGTGACTCCAATCAGGGATGGCATGGGGAGTGGTTCTATATCAGGAATCCGGTGGGGGTGCCATTTCCAGCGTTTACCGGTGGGAGGTCGGTGAAGTAGAAGAGTTGGTCGTGGGTATGCACCCACATGAAGAGGCATAAGGTGGAGGCCATTGAGGAGGAGCTTCAGAAGCTCATAAGGGGCAGCCTCGATGGGGTGCGGATGTTCCACACCCTTTACCGCCGCCGGGTTGCACCGTTGGTGGATAGGACGCAAACGATGTGGACGTATGGCGGGCAGTTGGATCTGGACCGCGCGTCGTTGGAGGAGCTATCGGACAACGAGATTTAGAGCCGCATCGGATGAGTGCTGCAGCTGAGGCTCGGAGAGATAGTTGTGGGAAAGCCCATACCGTTCAATGCCTCGATCATGCCCACACTGGTATGCTCCTTATTTTGTTCGTGCTCTTTCTCTGGTTCTTTCCCTTTTCTTTGATTTTGGTTCAATCGCTCCATAGGGGCTTGGGAGGTACAAGTCCCGGCCGCACCTCCCTAAGGGACCGGAGGGCCGGGCTCGGCAGGCCGCCCAGAAGGAGGCAGAGATGCCCCGAAGAAGAAAAGAACCAAGGAGGTTCAGCGGAAGGAAGAGAAGAAGAAGGAGGTCACCCGACGCGTGAGGGCCGGGGAACGTAGGAGCGACGTCGAGTCAGAACTCACATTGGATGATCCACCTACGGATTTGGACGACATGGTCTTTTCCAATGAGGAGGAGAGTCGAGAGGTCGTTGTGACCTCGGTGGTGCGTCGCGACCCTGCGGCGACGTCCGCTGGTGAGGAGTAGGAGGCCGCGCGGCGTGTAGAGGTTCCTGTGTTGAGGAAGCGTGTGGCGAGCACGAACGCAGTCGGTGGACGGGCGACGAAGTGAACACGGTCACCGCGCCCCTCGACGGTGTCGCCGGTCTCATCGTCGCCTGTGGCG